TTCTTTAGTTGATCATTTTCGTTTCTTCAGGTTGTTTGTTTCTTGTTTAGGGACAAACAAGTTCAAGTTAGGGAGAGTTTGATAAGTGAAAATTGTAGCTATTTTTATATATACTTTTTGTTACACTTATCGATTATTTGTTGTTAATTTCGGTTGAATAAACTTGAATTTTGTGTAAATATGTATACTTAGTGTATAATTGTATTTATGATTCATTAATGTATAGTTTGATAGTTTTAATGTCTTTTTGTAGGTCTTTTCACGTATTTGGAGCATCGAGGAATAATGTGTCGAAGGCACGACTCTGAATAAGCACTTTTGAAAGAAATAAAGAAAATAAGTGTTGCAGACAAGGCTAAGCGCGGTCTGTGGGCGCTTAGCTCACCCTGGGAGCTGAAGAGGAAAATTTGGCAGAGGCGAGAACGCTAAGTGCAGTCTGAGTCCACTTAGCGCACTCTAAGGTGGTTTAGTGAATTTAAGTGAAGCGTGCTTAGCGCGCTTAGCACGGTCTGCAGAATTTTGTTTTATAAACTTCATTTTGGTTCATTTTTAGGTTATGGTTTTGGGAAGTTTTTTCTCCCAACTCCATCAACCTCCAATTTTGTTAGTATTTGCTTAGATAACAACTATGAAGCTTGCATACAGATGATCCTGGGTGGATTTCTCATCGACCGATGTTAACAAAATGGAAGATTTGTGGTTTATCTCTTATCCTCTCTATGCATTTCTCTTTGGTTGGGTTTGTATATATTTTCACTTTGAACTCATGTATATTTGTCACCCTTGGTGTTATATAAAACTTTCTTTACAAATCTTTGTCGATTGTTGTCTTGGATTTTTTCTCTGTGCTCGGGATTTGAGTTGTTATAGACATATACTATTTTAGTTCTTATCTAGGATGATAATTTGTTAGTTTATGGATTCTAAAGATAAATTTAGAGCTGACATTCACTTGTATTTTTGTGATTAATGCCTATGTGTTGGTTGTGCCGCTTTGAGAGATTGTCGACGCAATTAACACAATTGACTTCTGCGTTATTGAGAGATCGTTACCAAGGTGATATATAATACCCCAACTTTTAGAAGTTATTTGTTTAATGAATTATTAGGAGTAATTGTGAAAAGTTCATGTTTTATATGATTATATGTGCGATGTGTTGGCATGTGGTTGCTTATGATGTGGAACATGTGATGTGAATGAAGGGATTATATGCATTGGAATAATTAGATGATTATTTAGTAATTATTTGGATTATTATTTAGAATAAAATAATAAGAATAATTATTTAAATAGAATTATTTTAGTTAGAGTGGTATGTTGGTAATTAGTAGAAAGAGTGAGGACGTGATGGTAAATTGAGATTGACTAAGTAAGGGCACTTGAGGAACATATTATGGGTCCTTTGTGATAACAGAGAAATAGAGAGAGTTATACTATTCATTATGTGCGATCGAAATATTAGGAGAAAAGTAAGAGAAGAGGATAGGGCACATAGATTGGAAGAGATCACTGTAAGAGGCACGAAGAACAGAATCAATTACTCGAAACAATAAGGTAAGAGGTTTTTATCTGATTATTATGTTTGATCTAAGTGGTAGATAGATGTAGGATTTTGTCTTAGGTATTGACAATGGTGATTTGGTATTGTTATGGTGAAGAATTGATGGAATTATAATGAACCTTGACCCATAATTATGGTATAATTGGTGTAGTATACCAAGTTGTTGTTAGATGATGATTTCTTATGATTAGATAATGTTTTAAGACCTGTCACATGATGAAATCATAGGGAAAATTGGTCTGATACAATGCAGAATCGCAAACAGGAAAACTCTGTTCGCAGAGGATCGTCAAGCGACGGGTCATGTGTCATCGGGCGACGGTGTTTCGCCAAGAAAAGGTGGGACGAGCCAATGAAGGAAAATGGGGTGTTGGTCTCTGAAATGTGTCGCCGGGCGATGGTTGCCAGAAGTGGAAGGTTGGACTGAAATCTTGAAATAGGCATAACTTTAGTTCTATAGCTCAGAATAAAGTGTCGTTCGAAGCTGTGTGTAGATAACGTAGTATGCTATAATTAGATGAAATAAAATGAAGACTTAGGATTATTTTTATAAGACCTAAGTTAGAGTAAGAATAGGTTCCCCGCATTGAATCGCAATGACGATTTGTTTAACTATGATGATATGTTGCTATTATGTTTATGTGATGGCGTTATGATGATGTTTTGATTACATGAGTATATATGATGATTACATGTGTATACATGATGGTGTTTTATGTATGATGTTGATTAATACATGAATTATGATGTGTATGAGTAGTTGTGGTCGTTTATATTTGTTGTTGCGCATCATGCATTCATGGAACAACTTTGGTCCGTTTTAATGAATTAGGGTGATGGTCCAGTGATTTGGTCTCAATCCCATTGTATGGATTTGGGATGTCTATGATTTTATTTGATTCCAAGTGGGAATCAATCTTATGATTGGGTTCTTTTGAGGGTGATGGCCCAGTGTCCATCAAATGAATTGGTACCATATGCACGAGTCTTTGTTCTTGCACTACATCTTATGTGGCATTGCATGGTTCTTGAATTGATGATGTTGTGTTGTGTTGTTAAACTTGTATGATTGTTGAGGTACTTGAAATATAATAATGTTGAGTTTATGTTGTGATACTTTTAGTTTATTCTGCCACGTCTATTACTTATGTCTTATATAATGATTGTGATAAACTCACCCTTTCTGCTTGAATGTTGCCTCTACGTGGGTAACATGCAGGTAATCAGGATTAGTTCTTAAGGGATTGAAAGAATAACTTTGGAGAGTGATTTATTTATGTTGAGTTTAGAAGATCTTGCTCTGATATGTAACATCGGGGACGGGAACACTACGTTTTGAAAACTATTTTGTTCTTGTTTTGTTATGACATTTTAAATCGTTTTCATGGAGTTTAAGTTGTGTTGAGTCGTGAACTATGAACTATGAAGTATTATGAAGTGTCTTTAATAAAGTTTATTTTGAACTATGATTCCGCTGCATTTATGTGAAGTGTTGACAATTGCATATGTCACAAACGATTTTGAAAACTCGTGTTACAGAGTAAGACTAACACGTATGATTATTTCACGAATAAAATATGACGCCCTTTTGTTGTATTACTCTGATATTATTTTAAATAATTAGGAATATTCCGTTGGGTTTAGAAGGGTGTTACATGATACAGTCGGCCTCTCAATTTGGGTTAGAAATGATTTAGGTTGTGAGTGATACGCGGTGACATTGAGGAGTATTGTAGGTTGAGTATAACAGGTCGATAAGTTTAAGTCTGTGAGAAGTGGAGTATATGCATGCTTGATAAGTTATTCTTTTTTCCTTTTTATACATTTAATTTCTGTTGATAACTTTTACCTCTTTCATTCAACCCCTAAACTCATTATTGAATGATTTGTCGAACGACGACTCAATAACCAATTTTTATGGACACGATACGATATAACCTAAATATCACCTGATAAAATAATATTTTTCTTTTTGCTTGCCGCTTTACCACAACATCAACTTGATAACTCCTTATCCATGATCCATGAGAAGTGATCATTAGTCTATCTATATAGTAGCCTCAAGGCTTTAATGTTATCCCACTTCACAACAAAGGTCGACTATGGATATTTTAAGAATAATGTCCTTATGTTTAATGAGATGTCATGATTAAGTCACACTTAACATTTCATTAAATAAACTAACTATTCTAGGAACTTTATTATTTTGGAAAAACAAATATAATAAAGTAATATCTTTTATTATTAATAGATAATTCGACAGAAGTACCAAAAATATTGATTGACCTCTAGGGCATACACCAACAAATACATCTCCAAAAATATTATCTAGTTGTTATTTAAATCAATTGCGTGAATAACAAAACCTCAAAAATGAGTGTATGACATATTTCAAATATGTGTCGCCGGATACAACCACATAATATACATAGATGTATCTTCATATCATATTTTTTAAAAACTAAAATGAAACTTAGAAAAGAAAAGATTTACATAATTTTAGATACCTAAAAAAATATATGTGTAAAAGTGAAAAGAGCATTTCTCAATTGTCATACTCCTATAAACACTTATTTTAAAAGAGTAATACTTTTTTACCCATAATATTAATGCTTAGAAACTCCCTGACACAACACAATAGTGAAGTGTAGAATTTCCACTATAGAATTTTGATTTGTTTCAGTTTTTTATTTAATGATTTTTATATTATTTATACTTTGATTTAAAACAAAATTAAAAGAATTTTTCAACAAAACTTCTAATAAAAATTTTTAACTATTTTTTATAAAGTATTATTTTAAATATTTTGATTTTTATTATAATTTTTATATCAAATTATAAATAATTATTTAAATTTAAATATATTTTTAATAATTTTTATAAAAATTAGTTTAAAAAAATATATTTTTTAAATCATGTAATTTTCATTATATTTTTATCTTTAATACTATATATTTATGTATTGAATATCCCAATTATTTTTTTCAATCTATAAAAAATAAATTTAAAAAAATTTGTAATATTTTAAAATTTTTTAAAAAATTATTCTTAAAAAATAAAATAAAAAAAATCTATTTTCTAAAGTTAAAGCAAACCGACACTTATTTTGTTGAGCTAGAATTATTGGATTTTTTTTTTTTCTCTTGAATGCTTCATCTCTCTCACCTTGGAGCAATTGTCCATATATCAATTGTGTGTTCAAATAGTGTACAAATTTATTCATATACCCTACTCTGCCGTGTTTACTTTGACCCGACCAAACGAAGAACTGAACAACTCTTTAGTATTCACATTTCACGTCTCAGAAAACCAAAGATAAACTTGTAGAAAAAAATTCACGGAAATAACGTGAAATACAGCTGTATTTTTAATTTTTAAACTAAAATAAAATAAGAAATAGAAAAGAAAGATAGGAGAAAGTGGGAGGAACAAGAAAACATGACGGCAGAATCAGGTAGTTCGAACTTCGATCTTCCCGAGGATGTCGTGCAAGTGCTACCGTCAGATCCGTTTGAGCAACTCGATGTGGCGCGCAAGATCACATCCATTGCTCTATCGACACGTGTCAACGCATTGGAATTGGAGTTGTCGGAACTTCGCGTCAAGATCGCCGAGAAGGATAAACTCATCGCTGAACTTCAGTCTCAGGCAGAGTCCCTCAACGCCTCCCTTTCTGAAACCGCGGATGAACTCGTCCGAGCCGAACAAGATAAGGTCCCAACCAACCCGAACCGGGTTCCATTTTATTTTCTTAAATTTATCGCTTTATGTTTTGTATTTATTTGTTTGTTTATTTGTTTTCGGTTGTTGAGCTTGATATACTTTAGGAGAAGTTGCTTAAGGAGAATGCTTCGCTTTCAGACACTGTCAGAAAGCTTAATCGAGATGTCTCCAAGGTTCATTTTACTATGATTTATTTATTCTGATTATGATGCCACTACTACTTACATTTGAATTATAATAATCCATGTTTGCAGTTTTTTTTGTTTTTTGAATGAAATGGGACATGGATTATAAGTTCAATTGTTTTGGTATATTGTTTTTTGCACTATGGTATGTGGATCAATATTTGGACTTATGAGAACGTAAATGCATGCAGTTAGAGGTTTTTAGAAAGACGCTTATGCAATCACTTCAGGAGGATGATGATAATTCAGTAAGTTACTATTAATATAATTGTTTGATGTTGTTTGCTGTCTGTCATTAAGAAGTTATGTGTTTAAGCACTGATACCAAAAACACGACAATGACACTAACACGTCGTTATTGGTAATAATTTGAAAAAATGAATAAATTAAACGTAATCACAAGTGTTGGTGTCAGTTTCAAACACGGACACAAGCACACTTTTTTCTGAAGTGTTGGTGCTATAGGGTTTTGTGCTGCATACTGTTATAGTCTTGGTTTAATGAGATTACAGTACCGGTTAAATACTTAACTTAATCATTGGGTTTATTTTTACTGGATTGTACTGCTTATTGTGTATGAATTGGTTTTAGTTGTACTAGATAATACTATTTGTTTCAGGGGAATTTTCTTATTTAACTTTTGGCTGTTAATGGGTGTTTGACATAGGGAGGAGCTCCGGACATTGTTGCTAGAATACAGAATCAGTTGGGTTCGACTTACACGTCTCAGTTTGGAGGTACTTTTAACATGTTATATGACATTCTTTGTCACTCACAAATCACAACATTGCATTTCTGTTTAAGTCTTGGTGTAGTCTGTAAATTGCTTTCTCAATTAGGCCCTTTGCGGATGTTGCGTTGGATGTGTGGTAAGACTACGTGAGATAACATTATAAATGAAAATATTAGAGAGAGTGTTGGGGGAACACCTTCTATAGAAACGATGGTGGAAACTAGACTTAAGTGGTTTGAGAATGAAGAGAGAAGACATGTGGATTATGTAGTAATGAGAGTATTAGATGGAGGGTGGTCATGCCGCTAGACTAGAGGTAGAATGACGACCTAGAAAAATTATAAGATAAACTATTAAGAAGGAACTTGAGATTAAAGAATTGGATTGGAATGTAGTTTTTGATAGAACATTATGTCATAGTTTGTTCCATGTAGCCGTCCCTATTTTGTGGGAAAGAGTCCGGTAGTTTAATTTTTTTTTTCCATTTTTGCAACGAGCTTCAGAGTGCTTTTAGTTTAACTTTTCTTTTGTAAAGTAAATTTACAGGCAATATAAGCATATTCAAATCCTTTATACATTGGTCTAACTTTTGTGCTTCGAATGTGCATTCAACATCTTACCATTTGGATGCCTGTACTTGCACATATTATGTTTCCATTTGTTTAAAATCATAGTAATGGCAATGGTAATCCATAGGATGGATTTGGACTTATTCTTTTCCTTTGGGGACATGATGGTGCCATGTTTGGAAAGAAAACTGCAAGTTTTACTATACGGGGGATGTATAAGTCAATGTAACTACTTTAGAAAATATGGCAATATTAAGCTACTACAATTTTATGGAGAGAGCGCCGTTAAAAGCATGTTAGGTTTTTCTTTAAAAAAAGCATTTTAGGTTCTGTTTTGGAGAAGGGGAGGAAAGAGTGATAAAGTGAAGAATGAAGCCATGGAGAGAAACCTTTTTATTTAACTAAGTTTTCCTCTCTTTCCTGCTCATGCAAATGGTCAGTAAAGTTGAGCTCCTTCAGCTGCACTTTTTTTATTTTCAGTTCTGAGAAGTTCTAATTTTATTGCAGATAATGACTCTTCATTGCCACCGTCTATATCTTCTTCAATGCCCCGTGTTTCTGACAGTGGAAATTCTTTCGTTGAGGATCAAGATTCTGATGGTACGTACTAATGTACTATCAGCCTGCATTACCAAAAAACACAATATGGTGTCTATTTTGATATTGCTGAAAAATGAATTTAAATATTGAATGTGTATCTTGATCTTTCTTGCTTTCTCCATTCCAATATATATTGCAGTCATAAGACCGAGAGTGCCCTATAATCTCCTCATGGCTTCCCAAAGTACCACCCCCCGGATTACTCCCACTGGTTCCCCTCCTAGTTTTTCTGCATCAGTATCTCCAACGAGAACATCTAGACCCATGTCTCCAAGGCGACATTCCATTTCCTTTTCGACTACAACAGGCATGCATGGTGATAGGTCTTCAGTGTTTTCCTCCATAGGTCACGGTTCAATATCAAGCTCTGACTCAGTAACAGGATCTCAAGCTGGTGAGTTCTTCCAACTTTGCTACCATTGTACTGTGTAAAAGATTGCATCTAGAAATGCTTTCATTTGGTCACTCTGTTTGGATTATTAGTTGGATCTCACATCCTTATGAAGAATGAGGTGCATAATATATCCAACATTGCAGCCATATGAAGAATGTTTTCATTAGGTTTGACTATTTGCCCTCGTTTTTTTTCTTAACTTATATGTCACAGGACGAACACGGGTGGATGGGAAGGAGTTCTTTCGCCAAGTCAGGTGAGTGCTCTTTCATGTCTTCAAACTTTGAAAACTATTAAATCAAGTTCAAAAACTTGATATTTCACTATCAGAGAAACATTGGTGGATGACATGATTTACAAAGCTGATAAAACTAGTTTAGTTCCTCAAAATCAAAATAGTGTCATCTTTTACATGTTTTACTGAATGGCTCATTTTTTCACTCAAGTTAGTTCGGTTAGGTCATCATCCTCTATTTAATCTCATGGTTATTATTATTAGGAACCGTCTGTCGTACGAGCAGTTTGGTGCATTCTTGGCAAATGTTAAGGAGCTAAATTCCCATAAACAAACAAGAGAGGTAATTCATCTTGTCGCTGCCTTGTTACCACTGACTCTCTACCATCTGTTAGATGTATAATTCTTGTTCTGTCGAAATGCATGTGTGGTGTATGTCGAATAACTTTTGTATAGGTTATAAGCTGTATTCGACAGAGTCAAATACAGCAGATATTGCAGTCTGTCGAAATTATGTTTTGGGCTTTAGCATTTTTGTCTAAATGGGCCTGGATATTGTTTGCCTATATAAAAGGCTGCTGAGTTTGTAATTAAAACAAGAAAGTGAGAAAGCAATCAAACTAACAAACTCTCAATTCTCTCTCAATTCTCTCTCCTTATCTTGCATAAATCATCTTTCTTGAAAAATTCTTTGTTCCAACACCATCAACCATGTCTTATTTTCAGTTAATAGACACTTGGCACTGTGTGTAAATTTGCAGGTGACTTTACAGAAAGCGGATGAAATTTTTGGGTCTGAAAACAAGGACCTATTCACTACATTTGAGGGATTGATCACTCGCAGTGTCCATTGACGATGTGCTTGGTGGATTCCTATTCTAAGTTAATAATAACTGATACTTTTTGTCGATTTATAGCAATCCCATTTTTTCCTCGCTGTATATTTAAATGGTTATTGTTGTGTAATAAAACAAGCCTGTAAATTTGGGTTAGTGAATGCCATTTCTTGAAAGGGTTGCCATTGGTATCCTTGTAGTAGGGATGGGATTGTTCATCCTATGCTATATGGTTGTTTTTGTTGGTTTTGTTCTTTATTTGTTTCAGTTTTTTTGGTACATTGGTACCTCTTATGCCCATTGTGAGTTTCTTTATAGATATTATGTTTGAAGTTTTGATGCCACTCAATAGTTTCCTTTTATGATTTATATATTGTTTCTCAACCCTTTTTTATTATGGTTTTTTTAGAGTAATTAAATATCTCTTTTGTGAGAGATGAACATCTAATCTTAGGAAGAATCTTGTACCCATGGATGCAATTGTTAGTTTAATAAATTATTCTTATGTTATTTATCTAATATCTATGATTAATGTTTTTTATGAACTGATCATCGATAAATTGATTAACGGTTTATTTTGTGAAATATGGGTGAAATTAGTAAACATTTGAGTTAAGTATTCTAGCTTACCACCATCTAGATATAGGATGAATCCTTAAAACTTATATATTTATGTTAAATCTAAATGTTTAACCTTAAATTATAATTTATCAATGGATTGAGGAGTTTGTTTGAGTTATTAAAAGATTAACTATTAAGGAATTAAGGAATTAAGATTTAGTAATTTTGGGAATGATTAATTACATGTGACAGTAACTTTTACTAGTAAAGTCAAAGGAGGAGTATAAGGGAAAATCTAAGTCAAACTTATGTCTAACATCTTTTTAATTAGTAATTTTACAAACCCTTGTTTTTAGCATCATGTCTCTCAAACCAACTAATACGCCTTTTGTTCCCTCCAAGGACTCACGATCAAGAATGCCAGTTGAATTTCTAATATCACCAAATGCATTGTGACTTGCTAGACATGATATATTGTTAGACAAACCAGGTTGATCAAATCCATCATGAAGAATGTCTGAATAACCTGTCCTCCTCACACCAAGACCAGCTCCTGACATTCTTGTCATGCCATCCATATGTCTATCAAGCATCTGAGATGAACTCTGTCCAGAGAGATTCCGTCCATTGGCTTTCCAAAGCTCCATCAAATCATTTTCGACATGTTTTGCTGAAAACTCGTGTTGCATAGTCTACATGTTCAATACTTAGTGGTATTCATCATAATGTTACTTGTCAAGATTCAATACACTTTTAAGATTTATATCAAGTTTTTTGGTGTCGTTGCTCGACACACTCAAGTTTTATGAAATTTAATTGTTTACTAGTTAAATTCTTTTCCCTGAAACAAACTTTTCTTGCTTTAATTTTTTATTTTTAGTTAATTTTTATTAAAAAATTGTTTAATCTTTTATGCGAGGTCAATCCTCATTCAAATTTAACTTTGATGTTGAAATCGATAAAATCACTCATGCAAATTAAAGGGTGTTGTACCCCAATTTTTGTCTCTGAGATCCCTTCATCATACCATATTGATTCAATCACAACAAGCTCACATCAGGGTTCTTGATTCTCCTCCTTACCTTTAGCTTTACTCTTTGAGGAATCACCAAGCACCTTGACTTGTTTTCTTTTGTGGTCATGAATATTTTGTCTAGATTTTTCCTTTTTAATTAATAAAATGTAATGTTGGTTTGTCTTGCTTGTTACTAATGTAGGTAAAGGCAATGAGATTTAGCAAGTTGCTCCATGGGTTCATGAGTTTATTTCCATGCCCTAGTCAATAAAGTTGGAGAAGTTCAAACCTCACCATTGAATTTGTTTTGGAAAAAATGGCATGGAAAAGTTATTTTGGTTCACCACATTTAAAGGCTATCAAATTTGATTCAAAAGTACAAGGGGTTGATTGAAGAAGTTGTCATGTTTGGACAAGGCTTTGTTCCCATTGGTCACAAGTGCATATTTCTCTCAATTCTCAAGATATGGAAGTGGTTTTGGTGGCTATGAGTTCTCATTTTCATCCTCAATAACTTCTATTTACAAAGCATTTGTGTTGGTACAAGAAGTTTGTTCAAAATTGTCAAAGTTCCTCAAAGCATTTTCTTGATCTAGGAGCTAGGGTTTTGAACTTCAAAGAAGCATATCTTGCTCATCTTTTGGTATTTTTGAGTGATTCCAAAGACATCTTTCTCTTCAAAGGGTTATAAAAAAATAACTTCAACAGTTTCAAGGAGTTTTCATGTGGAAGAAGCTTGATGATGAAGAAAGATTACAAGTCCTCCAGATGAACCCCCAATTTCTCATGTGTGACTTCAAATGATTATAACTTGATTAATTTTTATCACCTTGAGCCTATTCTTTTTCCATAATGATCTTGAGGATATGAATTTTATGCCTTCTTTTATGTGCAAAGTGAGAAAATGGATGGAAGATGCCCTAAGGATACAAAAGATTATAGGCCATTTCATGATTTTTTGCCAACTTCAACAATTCATAACTCTATTAATTTTTGAAGATTTTGAATGGTTCAAGTTTCAAAATGTCATTAAAGAGGTTTATTTCATGCCATCTTTTTTGGTCAAGAGCAAATTTCAAGTGGAAGACCATGTTTGGATGCAAAACATTATAGGTCACTTTTGAAGAAAAACTTGAAATATTTCTAAGTATGGAAAGTCAATTTCTTTTTCCCAACTTTGACTCAATGCAACTTTCAGCTCAAGCATCCATTTGATTCCATTATTTTTCCATTGCAAAGCTTGTAACCTCATATTTCTAAAGCATCAAGAATCATGCCCTAAGACCCTTTGAGCTGAGAATGCCATTGATTTGAACTTGGTATCTTGGAACTGAAGTTTCTTCAAAAGTCAGAATTTGAAATCATTGGTTTAGCTTCTAAACACTTTGTTTCTGCATGTTTTTTCCTCTAAACATGTTTGGTGAACTTTTAGAAGTGATTAGCACAACAAAACACGCGTTCTGGATAAGTTTTGATCAAATTATAAGCCACACTTTTCTTGTTTGCAACTTCACACGATTTCCCTCCAAACTTAATCATTTCACACGCTTGGACATTCCATTTGATTCCCTATAAATAGAGGGTCATCCCCCATTCATTTTCTCAAGTTTGGATAGCCAGAATCACTCTGCCAAACTTGTTCCATAACTCAAAATTCTGCAACATCGAAATTTGTTTTCAAGCCATTTTCAATCCAATTTTTCTATCAATTTACCATCCTTGATCTTCCCTGAAGCTAACCATATAATTACATTCAAGAATCCTGCCTTATATTGCTCCATAGAAGTCCAATTTCAGAGCTCTGCAACTCAACTTCAATAGGTAGATTTCTTCATCAATTCTTCAAAATTTTGATATCATTGTGATGCTCTCATTGTCCTGGTTCTAGTCGCAACACTTACTTTCATCTGAAAACTTGTTTTTACCATGAAATTTCAAATCCCTTTTCAAAACTTTCTTCCCAAATTGCTTGAGCTACAGTTTATATAAATTTATCGCGAATGTGTGGTTGTCTTCGTCTTGAAGAGACGAAGCGAATGACATAGGTCTCGTGCTCTAATTTTACAGATTGAGAAATTTGGTTTTGAGAATGACTGGAGGTTGAAGATGACCAACGTGTCATCCTTCAACCAATGAAACAATGCCATTTGGATTTTTTGAATTTCTGGTTTCAATTTGATTCAGTGCTTTATTCACTAATGACCATGATATGCACAGCACGCCAGATCTCTTGGATTTGATTACTAACGCGTCTTGACTCTCATCCAATAGTCCACATATTTTTGATTTTATTTTTCTTTCCTGATTTTTATATTTAACTATTTTAAATTTCAAAAAATCATAGAAAATTTATTTAGTCAAAAAAATCTGAAAAAATAATGAAAATTATTTTTGATTTTTCTCTTTCTGATTTTTATTATTTTACAATTTTATTTTGTGTTTTGATATTTTTTTATAAATTTCCACTTTATTTGAATTGTTTTAAATGTTTAAAAATACTTTTATGCATTTTTAAATTTTGGAAAAATTATGGAATGATCCAATGATATTGTAACAAATATTGGTGACCTCATTTATTTTTTATTTCTGACTTTGTTATTTTTTATCATTTTTGGTTTATTTTACTCATTTCTTTTAATTTTAAAAATAGTTTCTGACTTAAATAAAATTACCAAAAATTTTATAAAATCATTTTAGTTCATTTCTGATTTTTCTATGGTCTTACTTTTTATTTCTTGATTAATTTGAATATAGTTGATATTTTTCTCTTTTATTTCTATTTTAAAACCTTTTTTATAACCTTTTTTAATGTATATATTAAATGCAATATTAATTTGTGATTATTTTCTGGTTGATCTTGAATTGAATTATTGGTCATGAACTTTGTTAACATCGTTGGATTCATGGTGTTGAGTCTAACTCCACAAAAATGGATGAATGATTTTAATAATAGTTTGATTTAAATTTAATTCAAATGTGGTTTGTATATTCTCTCCCACCCCTCTTCATCTTGTCCCTTTCTCATTGCACTAAGTGTTATTGGAGCATGATCTCTATATCATGTCTCAAAACAAATGGTGTATAGATTACTATTGACCGACCTCAAAATAAGTGCGACTTCTATATAAGTCCACTTACGATTGCTTAACAAAGCGCTAAATTTTGTCCTGATTCGAATAAATGATCATTCGTGGCCCAAACCTATGTTTGCAAGCCCAAGTATGTTAGTTTGATCCCTTTGATCCAATAACCTTGAGATTCATTGTGTGGAAGCTTTGGTTCTACCAATCCTCTAATGGATCTACAACACTTTTGGTCAACGCGGATCACTTAAACATCGTTGATCATTAAATGGTACTTTTGAGGATTCCAAATGGATGATATACTTGACAAAAAGCAAATACAACTTGTTGTGTGAAGGCTCTGGTTCTACCAATCCTCT